CATCAATAACCAAATAAGAATAGTTATCATCCAATACTAAAAAATAATTTAATATCCATCAAACATATATGGTAAAAATGATTTTTATCAAAAAATTTTATTGATATTTACCTGGAATGGGATTATTTTCATTTTGTTAGAAAAGCTCTTTTTAAAAGATTTTGAAAATTGTGTATGGTAATTTGTACATCAATTCCAAAAAAATAAAAATAAAAAAATAAACCTGATGAAAAAATCTTTTATAACAGTGATCATATGTTCTTTTAAATAATACTGCTGATGAAATCAATTTGTTTTTTCTCAACATTTCTTAAATTTCAAATCATGTTCCTTGTAACACAACAATTTTGAAAAGAACAAGTCCATCCAATTAATTTTTTATAGTGATGACAAAAAAGGTGTTGATGATGCCCTTTATCTTCAAAAGACAAACTCTCTCTAAAACTACGTGTCCTTCCATTTATTTACAAGATTTTGACTTTTTTCAATTTTATTATACTTTTCTATTACTATATATGTTTTATTAGCTAAAGATAATTCTAATTCAACAATAAAATGCACATAATTCAACCTCTTTTTATAAAGAAATTACATATCAAGTATTTGATTCAATTATCAACTGAATAGCTTTTAATTATAAGGAATTAAAGAAAGTTCAAACATACAATAAAGTAATATCTTATCACCTTCTACAAAATATCATTAAAAATTTTTTTGGGTTGTAAATTTTGTTTTTATTGTTTGATTTTTTCATACATCGTTCATGTTTTGTCTTAATCATTTATCTTCAATTGATTGTGTTTACAACCATTTTGTTGACATTCATTATATTAAGGTTATTTTGATTATATCGAGAGATATGGTCAAAGAGAAGAGTTAGGAAGAGAGTTATTCTTCAACCAGTTGAAAACCAACCCTTTAAATACATTTTCGAGTATACAATTAATTATTAATTTATTAGACTATTTCAAAGGTTTTTGCATGATTGCTTCCAATTTCTTAAATTCGTTAATGAAACAATTGTTGGTGAAATGATTGTTGACAAAATGACATTTATTTTATGTTTATCAAATTCACGATTTTGATTGGCCAATCAACAATTGCATGGGTTTAATTTTGTGTTACCAGAATGAGATAAACTCTTTGGTTACACTAAAAGGGTTTTTTAAGATAAGATTTCCTTATTTTCAACCAATCATGGGGGTTCTGGGTTGGGATTCGTGTAGCCGAGGTAGGTGGTCTCTTCGGTGGTAGTGGTGGTGACTTTTGTATATATATATTATGACGTTTTAGTACTACGATACACACATCTTTTTGGTTTATTACAAATTATTATTTTATACATAAGCAACAATAAATATTTTCTTTTTTTTTTTTTTAATTAAAAAATAACAAAAAAAACGAAAAATAAAAAAATAAAAAATTGTTTAATCAATCACGCCATGACAAATGGAGATTGTTCGACACTCAAGTCAAAGTAATCAAAGTAATACTTTGTCATCACCTCAAATGGTAATATAAATGTTATACAAATTTTGTTATTTCATGGAAAAGATATTAATGATGTAACATATAATTATTAGACGAAACGATCTTACACATACAATTCCATAATGCGGTTAGTTTATAAAATTTATATAAAGTTTATTTTTTATTTTCATCTATTAACATTTTTTAAAAATTTTCTAAAAGTAAAGCTTAAACAATATAGAAAATTGTTTAATTGATATGCAAAGATCACGGGATGAAGTAATGGCAAATATTGGAGATATTTTGGAAAAAGAAAAAAATAAATTTGTCCTAGTAATAATAAGTTTGTCTTTAATTATAATTGTAACAGAAATTGAAAATTTCACATTCTAATGATTATTAATATTGGTATAGCAAAGAGAGAAAGGTTCAAGTGCCTTACGACTTAGTAGTTATCAAAAAGAAATTGAAAATCAAAAAAAGGAATTAGACAATGGTACACTACTTATCTATAAAATATAAAATATTTACGTTTATGCATTATTATTTGCTTATTTGATTCATAATGTAAAAAGATTATAAACGTATAGCGTCATTACGTGATAATATTCGTTCACGTAGAGTTGCTTTAGAGGATGCCAAGAAGCGATATCAGAATGAAAATGAATATTTGGAGGAAAGCTACAAGATATTGGAACGAGATCGGTTGGTTTTGTTATAATTTTATTTGAGATTGGTGTTTGAAAATTATGTTTTTGCTTTTTATATAGAAGGTCGTATTGAATCGGGTTGATCTTATTAGCGAAGCTTTATTTGAAACCTCTACGCAATTATTTGCTCGTCGACGAGAATTGATTTCTGATTTGTCTAACATATATCCTTTGGAACATGTAATAAACATTTATCATTACATATTTACATACATACATACATATATATATACACACATGGATTTCAATTGATTTTGGTTTTGGTTTTTTAGGCTCCAGAAATATCGCCATTTTCATACAAAATATTTGGTATACTACTTCCAAATTCTGTATTTGATGGTAACTAAATAATTAGTTATATAAATTGATGTATAAATATATAAGTATATATTTAATGTTAATAATTATTAATATTCTAATGAATTAGGTTGTGATGAAGAAAAAATTGCTACAGCACTTGGATTTGCTGCACATTTTGTTCAAATGTTAGCATATTACCTAGATACTCCATTAAGATTTCCAATAACTCCTATGTCATCAAGATCCACAATTTTGGATCCAATAACAGTTTCTCTTATTACTTCAAGACAGTAAGTAAAATTGCTCCAAGTTGATTGTTTGAATATTTCTTACATTTTTCCAAATAAAGAGATGTAAGTATTTTATAAACAAAAAAGAAAAATGTATTTAGCATAATTAAAAAAAAAATATTGTGTGTATATCTATATATATCACATATCATATACTCTCTCAGGGATTATGTATCACATGAGACTCCCATAATACCATTGATTTGGTTTTTCAATTGGTTCATATCGAACTTTTGCCACTGGAAAGAATTTTGTTGTTTCTCTAGCAATCAACTTGGAGCACCGTAATTATCGATAATCAATTAATTTGTTTTATCTTTTTTTTCTGTGTTATTGATATGATAATTTTTATTTATGATTGTTATTGTTGTTATTGCTATTATTTTATTCATTTTTTGTTAATTAGATATCCTTTGTATTCAAAAGGAGTTGACCGCAATGGATTTGAATATGCTGTTTATTTACTTAATAAAAACATTGAACAAGTAAGTATGTTTGTTTAATAGACATACGCATATATGTATGAAATCATTAATTTAATTTATTAATTAATCACATTTTGTATTATTGTATTTTTTGGGGGTTGTAGTTGATGTATTCACAAGAATTATATTATCTAATGGATTTAAGGCATACACTTCCAAATTTAACTTACTTAAAATTAAGTCTATGTTCAACATCTACAAGTCAGATTTCACATCTACGTAAAACAATACCTCATAAATGTACCATTAATCATCCTTTCAATGAAATAAATTCAAGTAATAGCAAAAATAACAACGAAAATAACAATAGTGATAATGACGATAATAGTAATAGTAATAATAATAATAATAATAATAATAATAATAATAATAATAACATTGAAATTAACAACTCTAATTCTTCTTTGCCTGCATCAAATAATAATATCGTTTCCATATCAATAAGGAATGAAGGGTCATCATCAAAAGAATCATTAAACAACAACAATAATATATCAAAGGCAAAGATGGCTTCACATCAAAAAACAAATGCTGAATTTAGGTTAGGAGTGACATAAAAATAATTACTTACATGTACAATTTGGGAAAAAATTTTTTAAAGGTTGTTGATAAGGACTGTTTATTATTAATAATTATTATATATTTATATACACGATTTTTTACATTATTTTCAATTTGTTTGGGAAACTAATATGTATTTTTATGTAATATTACTATTGTATGATTAAATTAATTGATTAATTGATTAATTAATTACTAGGTAAATATATATAAATATATATATATTAACCAAATAATTATTAACGGGGAAGGAACTTTATAAAAAATTGTAAATTTTATTATTTACTTTCCAATTTTTAGATAAATATTTTGGATTTGCATAATCCAAAAAATGTTGGCGCCAATTTTTTATAAAAATTTCTATACGTGGCCAACGAATCCTTTTTTTTGATTCAATATCATCATCGTCATGTTTTGTTTCATCAAAAATTATTTCTTCCTCTTTACCATCATCATTCATTGATACATAATAATATTCTTTTAACAACTCATTTATCACAAATTGCGCATGATCCAACATTTTTTGGTCATCATGATGATATATTGGTAATGAAATTGCTTCTTCAAGAATTGATATTGATATTGGTGAATTTTGGTTCATACTTTTTTGATTTATTAAAGCTGGAGTATTATTGTTTTGATTCTGATCATAATACCAATCTAATACGATTTGTTCCAATTGCTCTACTCGTTCCTTTGGTATAAAAGAAAACCTTTTAGTAAGAAAATTGGCATTTGTTGAAATTTCAGTTTGGTAAGAAATTGCTTTTAATCTTTTTAATAATGTATTTGCAGCTTTTTTAACTTTGATATTTTCTTCAAGTCTAATCCTATCTTTAGGATCAACCTCTAAAGGTGGTGCATTAAATTCTTTGACGATTTGTTTTTTATAGCGTGTTACATGTTTTTCATAAGAAGAATGACATCCAAAACACAATAAAACAACATCGTGACTCTTTAAATTAACACACCCTCAAAATTAGTTAAATATTAATGAAAGGGACACGATGATAATATTACGATGATAATATTTTGATGATTATTTACCGAATGTGATTTGATTACTTCAGGCATTCGTTTACGGTACATATCTGG